ATACAGTAGTTCCATTCTTAGACTTTTGAGGAATCGCCATAAAGATTTTTATAGTAATTGTACTAATTTACAGTTGTATCAAGAATGTAAAATTGTTTCTTTTCTCCACATCCTTTCCAGCTTTTATTATTGTCTGCACTCTTGATGGTTGTCATTCTCAACTGGAGTGAGATGAAATCTTAGTGTAGTTTTGATTTGTATTTTCTTAATTGCCAAAGTTATTGAACATATATTTGTTGGCCATTTTGATTTTTTTCTTTTGAGGAGTGCTTGTTTCATTCATTTGCCCATTAATTAATTGGGTTATTTAGGATTTAGTGGCAAGTTTTTTTTTAATTCTTTATGTATTGTAGATATTAATTCTATCAGAAGATTTTTTTCCCCATTCTTTCTTCACAATCTCAATTATTCCCTTTGCTGTTCAGAATGTGTTTAATTTGATGCCATATTATTCATTAATTCTTAATATTATTTCCTGAGCTTTGGGAGTCTTTACGGTGGAGTATTGACCTAAATTTTCTTCCAGGAGCTATAAACTTTATGGTCTATTTTCTAGGTAGTTAATCCATTTTGATTTGATTTTTTGTAGGGTAAGATATAGGTATCTAGGCTTATTCATTTACATATGAATAACCAGTTTCCCCAGCATCATTTGTTAAAAGGGCTGTCTTTTTTGCCAGCATATATTTTTAGCACATTTTTCAAGGATCAAATGACTGTATCTGAGTGGTTCTGCCTCTGTGTTTTGCTTTTTCTTTTTTCTACATAGTTTTCTTCTATTCTGTTCCATTGGACTGCATGCCAATACCATGCAAATTTGATTACTATAGCTCCATAGAAAAAGTGAAGCCAGGTATTACAATGGTCCCCTCATTGCTTTTTTGGCTGAGGATCATTTTTTATGCCCCTTCAAGTAAATTGTAGAACTTTTTTTTTCCCTAGTTCTGTGAAGAATGTCATTGGTAGTTTCATGGGAACTGCATTGCTTTTGGTAATGTGAACATTTTAATAATATTAAGTATGCCTATTCCATGAACATAAAGTTCCTTCTATCTTCTTATGTCTAATTCAGTTTCTTTCTTTGGTGTTTTATAGCTTTCATTGTAGAGGTCTTTCTCCTCCTTGGTTAGATTTATTCCTAGATTTTTTTTACAGGCTTGTGTAAATTGAATTGTTTTCCTGATTTCATTCTCAGCAGCTTCATTATGATTATATAAGTAAGCTATTGATTTGTAACCTGCTACTTTGCTGAATTTGTTTATTAGCTCTAGCAAAATTCTGGTGGAGCTTTTTTGTATCTTCTAAGCATAGGATCAGATAATCTGCAAATAGTAATGATTCTAGCTCTTCCTTCCCTATTTTTGTCCCTTTTATTTCTTTTCTTGCCTAATTGCTTTGGCTAGAATTGCTAGTTATATATTGAATCAAATCTCATTCCAGAGTTTTAAATGTGTGTTTTAAGGTTTTCCTCAATCACTATTATGTTAGTTTTGGGTTTGTCATATATAGCCTTTATTATTTAGGTAAATTCTTGTATCCCTAGTTTATTTAGTTTTTTTTTTTTTTTTTTAATCATGAGTGAGTGCTGAATTTTGTCAAAAGGTTTCTTTGTATCTATTAAAATGAGTGATTTTTGTCCTTAATTCTATTTATGTGATGAATTACATTTATTGATTTTCTTATCCAGCCTTATTACCCTGAAATAAAAATCTACTTGGTTATATTGTATAATTTTTGTATAATTTTCTTAATATACTGTTGTTTATAACTTTCTAATATTTTATTGAGGATTTCTGCTTCTGAGTACATCAGGGATATTGATCTGTACTTTTCTTGATGTGTCCTATAAAGTTTTGTAGTATAGTTCCTTCGTTGTTCTTTGTTGATGCTCAGTGTAGTTTGACAGTGTGTGTTGTGTCAAAGATTGAGATCCAACTTTCCCTGTAGATCTCACAAAAGTGGAGTACTTCTTGTTGATCTGGCAATTGTGTTGTTTACAGCAGAGTATGTTTGGTACCATTTTTATGATTGCTTTTTGTCACATAAGAAACCTGTATATTTTAAAGAGTCATATGAGAACTCTAGATTAAGGCCCCTTGTAGATGTCTTTTCTACATTCTGGTTTGTTGTTGGAGTGGATGCCCATGAGTAGGACTTGAGGGTCCCCTAACTATTTTCTACTTGGGGCCTGGACATTGGTTAGGGGTTCTGCCCCTTTAATATCATTAGTGTCACTGAAGTTTGAACATGACTAGTTTGTTTATGAACAAGGTGACTGTCCCTTTCTGGGTTTTGGAGTAACTCAGCATCAGAATCTGTACCCTGTGATTTGCAGTGTCTCAGTCAATTCCCAGCAGTTCACATTAAAAGGGAAAGCAAACAATAGTAAGAAGAGTAGTGAACAACATACAGCATTAAAGTAAACACCTGGTGCCTACTACAACATCTACAAGACTAATTATCTCAAAAACAAAAATGGTGGGGTCAAAAGTTTACAAACAGCAACAACAATAAATAGTCATGAACTGGATAAAAGTAAATAGCAGGTGTCAACTTTATCATCCACTGTAATAATAATTACAATAACATCAATGGTGGGGCAGCAGTTATGTTTGATTAAATAGTTTTAAAAGATCACAATAAATACAGTTTGTTAAAAGAAAATGTGACTAGAAGAAAAAAGAAATTTAGAATATTCAAAATGTGAACAGAAAGAAAGCAGAAGAGATGTAGTCAGTGATACCTATATAGAGGGAGAAAAAAGAAAACAAAATAGATAAAGAACAAACAAGAGAATCTGGCTGTTGGAGGAAAAAAGGAGAAGAAAGGGAAACAAGTAAACAAACAAACAAAAAAACCTAACCTTCAAAAGACAAAACAATACATGTTTAAAACATGATGAATAAGAAAAAAGGAAACAAGTATATTCATGTATGTATAGCTGTGAACCAACAGCACAGCAAGAATACAAAGAAGAGGAAGGAGTAAATGGAGGAGGAGGAAGAAAAGAAATTCTTAATCAGAAATGAAAGAATTGTCTTTTCTGAGGTGGTCCAAGCTGTCAACAAGGATGGATGCTCACTGCCTATACAAGACTGTACTTTCTGTTTCTTCTTGGGCTGTGTATTCTAGAGAGAGCAAAAGGTAGGGGTTGTTAAATCCTTCTTTTTGTGTTGCCCAAGGAGCTGCCAGTTGGAATGATCTGCAACCACAGTAAGGTAGGAGGAAATGGGTAATAATGTCAATTGAAATTTTGTCCCGACAGAACAGATCTGTGTGCTTCCAGAATTGGACTGCTATAGAGTTCTAAATGGGAAGGTCTAGTATCTGGGCTTAGCTCTAATCAGGCCTTAGGAGTTTCATTGGGTGGTGTCTACTCTGAAGAGATTAGATTACCACATCCCTAGAGCTAGGTAAATACCCATTTCTAGGGCATTTCAATACCTGGTTCTCAGGGGCCTCTCAGGAAGTTACTAGTAGAGCAGGAGAGACAACCCTGCAGGGGTCTCACATACTCCACCTGCTACCTGTGTGGCCCTTTCCAGGCTCAATCCTAAGTGTAATCACACTCACCTGTTGACTTCCTGACCCTCATCAACTGATTGTGTGAGCCACCAGACTCAAAGGGAAAGCAAGTTGCACTCCCTTCTGTATCTCTGATTTGAATTCCTGGGGTACAATTTTCTCTGTGTCTGTTTTAATTCACTATATACACCCTAGGTCACCCAATGGGCACTTGTTGGGACAGTATGACAATATTTGCTATGATGCCATGGGCTCCTGCATCAGCAAAAGCCACAATGTGGCCTATTCAAAATGGCTCCCAGCCTCCACTTCATTGGCCAGTTGAGAAACACAGAGCATTTTTCAGATGTTCAAGACTAGCTCATTGTGCAACATTTGGTTCAGCTAAGTTCAGTTTGCTTTTCTGTTCTATAGTTGTTTTTCTGTCAAATTTGTGCATTGTGTTTCTCTCTCCCCTCTGCACTGAACCAGTGCTGCTGTCACTGCCACCACCAGCTTTACACTTTCTTGCCCTTTGTTCAATGCATCTGAATTTCTGGGTCTCTATGAGTTTCTGAATTCCCTTTCATCTACCTGACTGTGGGAGTACATGCATAAATCCTAAGCCACGGATCAACTAGAAATGCAGCCCTCCTCTAATCCACTATCTTGAATCTCCCACACAAAGAAAACCTTTTAAATACCTTGATACTACATAAAAGAAATTGCTGTTCTAAAGCCAGTAGAGCATTTAGTTATTACAACCTGGTAGATTCAGGATTCTCTAAAGGATTATTAATACATATAATATTGTAAGAAAACTATATAAATAAAAACAAAAGAAGCTTTTCTAAGATAATAATAATGAAGGTATTACAATGTTAAAAAATAAGATGTCAAGTCAAGAGTTGCCAGGTAAAATCACATTACTGTTCTAATATATTTGTAAACAGCAAAGATAAACTTGCATAGGCAAAAATAGTCACCATCATCATCATCATATTTTTTTCTTTTTAAAAGTTCAGGTTTCTATTGAATTTCATCTGAACTAAAAAGTTATAGTCTAAATATGCTAGCAAATAGGTGACTATATCAAATTACAAATGTTCACAAATATGATGGAGTATCAACATATTAAAAATTTTTGTCACGGCTTTAGTGAAGACAGACTATATTGTTCCAGTTTTCTACAAGGAAGTAAAAATAGAACTGGTATGGATGACACTAGAGAAAAATGTAACTTGGTTTGAAAATATCCAGATAAATTTAGAACAAATTCTGACTCATTATTTGTAGAGAAGAGTTTCTGGAAAACTTTTGATTAAAATCAGTTTCTTTGCTTAAGTGAAAGCTTTTTTTTTTTTTTCTGAATGGTTTGATAACACTAAAAAGGAAAAGCAGTTGATTTTGTGATTGTTTATTTTATAATGTACCATCTCTTTCTCTTTTTTCTCTCTTTTATCCTTACACTAACCCTTCCTTTCTCTGTTCCCCAGAAAAAATTATGACATCAACATCCAAAGGAATTCTCCGCCCATTTTTAATTGTCTGCATTATCTTGGGCTGCTTCATGGCATGTCTGCTTATTTACATCAAGCCCACCAACAGCTGGATTTTCAGCCCAATGGAGTCAGCCAGCTCAGTGCTAAAAATGAAAAATTTCTTCTCCACCAAAACTGATTATTTTAATGAAACTACTATTTTGGTGTGGGTGTGGCCTTTTGGGCAAACCTTTGACCTTACATCCTGCCAAGCAATGTTCAATATCCAAGGATGTCATCTCACAACAGACCGTTCACTGTACAACAAATCTCACGCAGTCCTGATACATCACCGAGACATCAGCTGGGATCTGACTAATTTACCTCAGCAGGCCAGACCGCCCTTCCAGAAATGGATTTGGATGAATTTGGAATCACCAACTCATACTCCCCAGAAGAGTGGTATTGAGCATCTGTTCAACCTGACTCTAACCTACCGCCGTGACTCAGATATCCAAGTGCCTTATGGCTTCTTGACGGTGAGCACAAACCCCTTCGTGTTTGAAGTGCCAAGCAAAGAGAAGTTGGTGTGTTGGGTTGTAAGTAACTGGAACCCTGAACATGCCAGGGTCAAGTATTACAATGAGCTAAGCAAAAGTATTGAAATCCACACCTATGGGCAAGCATTTGGAGAATATGTGAATGATAAAAATTTGATTCCTACCATCTCTACATGTAAATTTTATCTCTCTTTTGAAAACTCAATCCATAAAGATTACATCACAGAAAAGCTCTACAATGCTTTTTTGGCTGGCTCTGTACCTGTTGTTCTGGGACCATCTAGGGAAAACTATGAGAATTATATTCCAGCAGATTCGTTCATTCATGTGGAAGATTATAACTCTCCCAGTGAGCTAGCCAAGTATCTAAAGGAAGTCGACAAAAACAATAAGTTATACCTTAGTTACTTTAAATGGAGGAAAGATTTCACTGTAAATCTTCCACGGTTTTGGGAATCACATGCATGCTTGGCTTGTGATCATGTAAAAAGGCATCAAGAATACAAGTCCGTTGGCAATTTAGAGAAATGGTTTTGGAATTAAAGTTTTTCCATCATCTGCACATTTAGTAAAATACTTTGATGAGATATCATCCAAATTTTGAGGATACGAAGAAAAACAACACTGTTTTCATGTCACAACTTATTTTTATCACTTTCTCTTGGGTAACATGTATATTTTGATGAAGATTTTTAAGAGCCTCAGCATTAGCTATCATTCCATTTGGTTTTAAATTATCCTGTATATACCTAATTATGTGCACTGAAAAAATAATTTATTCTTCACTATCATTTATAAACATTATTTTTCATATTTTTGTAGTAATCTATAATATGTTTATGATTTGATTGGTCTTTTTACACTGATCATCTCTTTAATCATTTTGGGAAATTAAGATGCAATCTTAAAATATGAAAGATTTTACTAAATATTATAATCTCTAGTTCCAAGTTGGAAAAATGTTAACAAAGAAAGAATGTACTAAAATCAAAAATTATGACCTCTAAGACTTCAGAGTCAAACAAAGTGTGTATCTATCAATCTGATCAGTGTTTATCTGTTTGGGGCATTTGCAAAGAAAATGATTTATGTATTGAACATGAAAGATAGAAGCAGAACTATTCTATTCAGGGAGCTGTTAGATCTCTGTTTTATTTTCATTAAGTTGACATGCAAATGCAACCACCTATTCTCAGGATCTTAATTTTAAGTCTTTAAGAATTATTAAATATCCAATTGGTTATGATTTTCAGTGCCCAGAAAAATAATCCTAATAACACTTAATAGGATCTAGGATAGTGATCTTCCCAATCCTAATAACACTCACTTTTAAAACATAGCAAATGATTTCCTCAAATAAGAATGAAACAGATATCTATAGGTACATCATATACATAAATGGTACTATTTATGTTTAATTTTTAATTACTTATCAATTTAAAATATTTTTTCTGAAGCCCAAATATTTAAAATAGTTTTATTTTACTATATGGACAAATAAATAGACATAACTTTTGAAAGATCTCTCCCGTCACTTAAGAGAATCTAAATAAACTATCATCAATGTATGAAGTTTAAGTGGATAAATATAATAAAATGAGGATCTACAGGAAACATTGGTATCAACACAGTAGGATCTAGATACATATTTGTTAAATGAAGAGATAATGGCATTGAAAGTCATGGGGAAATATTTGTTTGTTTCAGTGAAGTGACAGTTCTAGCCTAGTGGTACTAATTTATGGAGATGATGTCTTATATACTATTTCAGTAATTATTCATACTTAGCACATATGACTAGGGTCTTCAGGGCTTTATAGAACCAACATAAACCTATCATGACACTAAACTTTTGGAGAAATTTATCGCTGAACTTTCATCTGCCTACAGCATTTCTCCCCTATAGTGTTAGAGAAAGGAAGAGCTAGATAGAAGCAGAAATAGTGGGTAAGAAAAGCCAGATGTTAAAGATTCTTCAAGGAAAGCATTCTGCAAAGGAATATCCAGTGTTTTTATTCCATTTTATCCAAAGATCATCAAAGGGATTACATAGTTCTGATGGTATCCACTTTGGTATATTTGTGACTTATTTTAATCATCTTTTTGCATGTTGGTATTAGCATTCAACCCCACAATTTTATACACCACATAGAAAATAGAGATAAATTTCAATTCAGTAAGAAGGAAGTATGCCCAACAATCAAGACTGCCTTATGGAGAGAATGAACTCTCCCTAGCACTGGAAGGATTTGAGCAAAGGAAGTTGCTTGCATTGAACAGAGGATGGTTTCTTCCCCAGGTTCATTTCTTTAGTCACAGTGAATAGGCACTTGGTATCAGGCAGTCCCACAGCCAGCACAGAAAGATGAAAAGGGTGCTATCATTGTCTTAAAAGGAACTCACAATTAAGCAGAGAGATAAAGGAAAGCTTCCTTTCAATTCCAGCCTGAGTCTGTTTATACACATACTACTCTCAACAGAGTTTATGTGGATCACTATTGATTTAATGAAAAATAAAATAAAATAAGACACGTTAGCAAAGTTTCCTAGTTGTTTAGTAACTTGACATGTTTCTCAGATGAAAACTTTGTCTACGCATTTGGTTCCCTTTATATTACCTTTTTTTCCCCATGTAATATTTATTCTCTTTATTAAAAATATAGCATGTTTGTATGTATGACTTATTAGTCAATACATCCATTTATATTTATTTTATTGATAAATAGTCAGATTCATATACTTACATTTATTTGTCATTTCTATCTATAGAGAGGAAGGATCTAAAGAAAATGCATTGCTAACACATTTAGAAAGCCCAAGATTTCTCTGAAAGCTGAAAAGCTTTCAAGGTCACTTCAACTTGCCATTGCTGAAGTGGATGTTGATTATTTCAAATACCTGAAACACATGAGTTAAGTTTCCTCTATTGCTGACTCCAAATTTGAGCTCTTTCTTGTGTTGTGACTATGATTATATGCTGATAATGTGAACTAAGCCAAGGCAATAAGTGTTTAACTGGTGCATCTTCTTACTGAAACCCCTTACCAAGTCCCAGAATAATAAGTTTTCTTGATATGAAGTGCCAAAATTAATGAACCTTTCACTTCTGGATCCATTGATCTATAAGATTTAGGGAAGGATCAAATTATAGCAATATTTATAAACCTATCTCTTCTATTTGTGAACTAATGTGATCCAGAGATATTATTTGTTCAAGATAGTCATGCACACACACACACACACACACACACACAACTAGTGAGAGTAGTTAAGATTAAAATGTAATGGCCTCTCTCTCTTAATCCCATAATTGTTCTCTTTGCCTTCCCAAGTTACCATAAAAGTATGTCTCAGTGCCTATAAATGTGAATGTCTATTGGCATTGCTTAGTGTCTACATGATGGTACATTCTGTGAAAGAACTTCAACCTTTGAAGGTATGCAATAAATAAAGGGTAAAACTTGCTAACATTTCTCTCTGGTTTAAATATTTTAGGAGTTGAAGTTTAGTAGATTAAAATGGGCTCTCATTTAAGTGAAATGCAACCATCAAAAGGTACCTGATTCTCAACCACTCCTTTATTAAATCCTATAGATTACAATTCTTCATAAGGATATTTCATGTAAAATATGTATTGATTTTGCCTGTGGCTGGATATAAAAACAAATAATTATGCCCAGTGATATATTATTATATTATGGATATAAGAACAGAACAGACCATTTAAAATGTTTGATTTCAAAATATCACAAAGTTATAACATCAATGGTCTGAATGTTTAATTATTAATTAAAGATCTTATTATTAAAAATATATAAAATTTATTTATTATCGGTTTTACTAATAAGAATATATGCTGAATTCTTTATATCTAACAGTACTACACTCTGTAAAAGAAAAACTATGGTAGTCACATATTTTATAACAGCCATAAATTTGACAATATGAAGTAGAAACTGAGAAAAATTATTTTAGTGGTAAACCAATATCAGCTTAAAATTGTTATGTTTACTATAAAGGTCCTGATAATCCTATAATGTGCAGAAATGATAGTTCAAAATATTTCATATTATCAAGGTATAATGTCATAGAATACTTAGGAATTATTTGCTGAACCTTTAAATTCTTCCCTCCAATTGGAAATTAAATAGGAAAATAATAGGAAACTTGTTTTGGCTTATTTTAAAGCTAAATTCCTTGATTCTTAGTGGCCTCAAAAGTGATTTTGCATTAATTAGTGTTTCCCAAACAAGTTTTAGGTCTTTCCATTATGACCTCATACTTGATCATATCCTTGAGTTCCTTTTAATTCCGATCTCATTTAGGAGAACTTCTTGACAACTTATAATTAAGCTGTTTAATAAAACATTACAGAATCTAAAAGATTAGCACAATGCAGAGGAGGATCTCAACAAATACTTATTGAATGAATAATAAATGTCATTCATGGTAATAAAAATTTTAAAATTTAGTAATAGTACCAGCTTATTGGTACTGATTGGAGATTCTGTTCTGTATTTATTTTATTGGTCAGTCTTGTGCCTACATGATGATGAGAGTCATGATAATTTCTTTCTTTCTTACCACATTCTAAGACTCCAAAAGAAGTAACATTGCAAGAAATATTACATAGGATTTGGAACTTGTAACATTCTACTCAAATATTAATAACATACCAACTGTTTCTAATGGAAAATAAAATGAGTATTTAAGGAGAATATAAAGTACAAGCACTGTGAAGGGCAGATATTTATTACTGAACCACACAGGGAGAGAAATACAGTTTATTTCCTCTCTAACTCCCTGACTGCATTCTGTTGTATTACAAACATCAATCAATTAAGATGATTTTGTTTCTCCAGATTTCTCACATCCAAAGATTTTGTAGCATTTTATGAGTGGGTAAACTCCACTACTATCCAAATTGTACTCCTTCTCAGTTATTCATATTAAATGCATCTATATTCATAAGAACTTTATAAAAACATTTAACAGAACTTAAATGAAAGATAGTCTGCTAAATCATAAATATGAATAATGCTACTCTGGGTTATTAGTTCAACAAATTGCAATTTTGAGGAAGCCACTTAACCTCTCTGGACCTTTTTGTTTGTGTATTTCTGTCCAGAATTACTACTCTCTAATCTAAGATCTAAATTGATTCATGCATGAATTTGAAAATGAAATTTTGATGACCACCTCAAAATAATTTTTGGACATAAACATTCCTAAGAGATTTATTTATTGTTTCTCTGTATAAACAGTTAAAGCATGAAACTGATTATTTAAACTAATGGGTGGAAAAAAACAACAATCTTGGTTCTTTATTGGAGTGTGGAATATAGCAAGTGTTCAGTTAATTAAACGTCCTTCTTTATCTTTTTCCTCTCTATAATTTCCTACCCATGTCTTTTGTAACTTGCTATTCACTGAAAATTTAATTATTTAAAGAAAATCAAACATATACTGGGAATTATTTTAAAATATGCATTTGATGGCACTATTCAAATTCTTATTTTAATAATCTGAAACATTTATTGATACACAGAATTCATCCTAGGTATAATTTAAGTAAGCTAGATTTAGTTTTGCTAACCCACAATTAATATATGTTCATGTTTTGATTTTCTTTGAAAATATTTTGATTTAAAAAGAACCTTTCTCCAGTGTTTATTGCCTTCTGTCAGTATTACTCAAAGCATGGTTCCTAGGTCACCTAACCTAGGGTCACCAGAGGTGATTACTAGCAATACAGATTTACTGATTCTTGGGCCCTACAGGTCCACATAATTGGATTCTCTTCAAATAAGTAGGAGGGAAACAAGAAAAACAAAAACCCACATTATTAAAAAGTACATTTCCTAAGTTATCCTGTGCCTTCTATATAGTTGCTGAACCATCTTACCTATCATAAACCAGTCGTCCTCAAACACATATGTGTTAAGAACTTCCTGGATCAGCTGCACAAGAATCATTTCAAAGATTATTTATAATATACACTTTCTGATACTCTGGATTGGAGATGGGACATGGTATGTGTATGTTAAAAATATCTCCAGTTCTGATGAGCTGGCACTTTTAAGGACTACATTCTGCCTATTAAATGAAAATTATTTTATACTTAAATGACGAGATGTTGCCTTTACTTAGTTCACCTGAATTCGTTTTAAATACATTAGAGAAGTATTTCTCCATTTCAAGATCCAGAACATTCTTTATGTGTAATATTTTATGCACAAGCATGGAACTCATTAACTAATTCTGTGATCTGGGGCAGGTTATTTACAGTCTCCAGACATTCTTTCAAGTTGCGAGTGGCTGATAATAATAGCTCTTAAATCTGGATGCACAACAAAATCATCTGGAGAGTCTTTAAAATTGCTAGAGCTCAAGGACTATCTCTAGAGATCAGATCCAATTAGTTTGAGGAAGGACCCAGCAGGAAGAGTTGTAAGGAATGAATCCACAGGTAATACTGATGGTAAGGTCACCTCTGGGAGCCCCCACTCTACTCATGGGAAGTCCTTAGCCTGGAGCAATTGTTAAGAAAGGAAAGGAAACAAAAGTGTGAAAATATATATATATTCCACTCTTTTTAGGTTTCTAACAGCATGTTTTTAATTTGCAAAATACAAGACTGGACTAGACAATAACTATGATTCTTTGAAGGCACTAAACTTCATGATTCTGTGATCTGCTTATCCATTGCTTATATTTAAGAGACTGCTTTCCTGGGTTCCAAAGTCCTCAATTGATAGGTAGAAAGATAAATTGCAATTAGGGTATGACAACAAGTTAAAGCATAAAGATTTTTGATGAGCACAGATTTAGAATTGTATCAGTGTTTTGCCATTCCCTAGCTATGTGCAAGCTACTTAAATTCTCTTAGCCTCATATTTTGCATCTGTAAAGTGGAAGCAGAATACTCTTGATATGTTCTTTGTAGAACAGATGAAATTATTTTCAAATAATTAGTTAATAAGTGTTCTATTATTATTATTATTATTATTATTATTATTACTATTACTGATGCTTGGGATAGAACTCAGCACCTTGTTCATACTAGGCAAACATTCTACCACTGAGCTAAACCACTAGCTATATTATCTTTTATTTTTATAAAAGATAATGTGAGAAGCCCAGAACCTTATCTTCAATTTCAGATCTAAACCCTGAAGATGTTAAGCGGGCAGCTGGTAAGAATTACTGAAAATTGAGCTAAAGGAATATCTTCAGAAAAGAAAAAGAGTGTGGAAGCATGTATTCACGTCTTCTGTAATTAATAGAAGAGTGTGAGACTGGCAGCAGAGGTGACTAGGCATTATTTGCATTATAAAACACATACACCATTTCTTAAAATAATTGAACTCAAGCAGGCCTGACTTTTCCCTTCACTGTTATTAGCAACCAGTAAATTAATAGTCAATTTAGCTTATTATCTGTTGGTATAGCTCAAGTCACAGAATTGAATAGCAAGAAAATTCTTGGCAATCATTTCTAGTAAAGAAATAGGCCTAATCTGATCTAACTTTCCTATGTACCTATATGAATATATCACAGTGAATCTCACCATCAAGTACATCCATAAAACACTAATTAAAAAAAAACTATAAGTAAATAGCAGAAAAATCTGTAAAGAGGAAGCATTGGAGACTGAATTAGAACAAATTACATCCCATGCTTTTATAATTGTGTCAAAATGAATCCTATTGTCATGTATAACTAAAAATAAACAATAAAATATTTTTTAAAAGAAATAGGCCTTATATATATCCAACAATTTGACTTCATTTCAGCTGTCCACAAACAGACAGAACAAATAATGATTTTTAGAAAAGGGAATTGAGTCTCCATCCACTTTTCCTAAAGCTAATAAAAACAAAATAGCCACTGGGTTCAGGGCATACCTGCAATCCCAGCATCTGGAGAGACTGAGGCAGGAGGATCATTAGTTCAAGGCCAGCCTCAGCAATTTAGCTAGGCCCTAAGCAACTTAGCAAGACCCTGTCTTGAGATTAAATATTAAAAAGGGCTGGGGATTTGGCTCAGTGTTTAAACAACCCTGGGTTCAATTCCCAGTACAAAATAAAAAAGAAAAGAGCCAAAAGGTTTTAAACTCTAAAGGCATAAATTCCATAAACAGGATTGTATTAGCTTAGTGAGGCAGAAATAAAATAGTTCTTAGCCAGATTGTGATTAAGACTACTCTAATGGATAACTTCATAATAAACAGAATTTCAACGTAAAAAATCTCAACCTTACATGTGGACAATTTTTAAGTTTAACTAGGCTAAAGCAAAAAG